GTTGGGTGAAAACGAAACTCGGAATGGGGAGTGTTTTTTGTTAGGACACTTCAGACTCATTCACTTAACTCTAACCAGATCTTCCATGAGTGCTTATCACAGGCAGAGCTTTATGCCAGGCAGGCACTTAGAGCTGTAGCACAGGCGTCAGCTGTCCTTGCGGAAGGCAAAGCTGTAACAGTTGAGTATTTTCGACCCCTACCTAGTTAGGGCTATCCTGTTAGTTTGGAAAGTGGAGAAGAAGCAGAGATGGAGAATGAAGGAGACTTGCAGAACTAGACTATGCTCTTATTTTCTTGAATATTTTGTTTTGTTTTGTTTTTGGTTTGGAAGAGGATCCAGGTAGTTTGCTCATTCATTCAACTAATATTAGATGTCAGGCTTAGGGCAAATAGCATCAAACAAAACTTTCCTTTAAGGATCTTGATTCTGGTTGATGGAGACACAAAACAAGAACAATAAAACATAGAGGTAGTGGGAAGTTTTAAGGAGAAAATGCAGGAAAGGGAGTTTTGAAACATCGAAGGTTGGAAGGGGAGAAAATGGTTGAAGTTTTAGATCAATGACCCAGAGAAGGTCGCATTGAGAAGGAAATCTTTGATCCAGGTTCATGAAGAGGTGAGGAAGTCCATGTGTGAAGCAGTGGTTTAATTGATTCTTAGTCAAGACAGTCCAGAAAGCATGAACGATGCTACAAAGGTCTCTGCTTCCCTGCGGGAAAAAGAGTGATTCAAGCAGAAACAGCTAAGTGTACAAACTTAAATTGCATGTTCTTTAGTCTCTGCAGGAGACCCAGTAATAACTGAGGTGTTACCTCGATGGAGACAGGAAGTGTCGGTTGCTAACAACTTTGTGGATTACCACCTCCAGGAAAGTGGCCACTTGAAGGGCCAATCAGTAAGGAGAGTTCAGCTCAGTATTTTATCTGATACAAGTTTAGTTTAAGGCAGAAAATCAAAGGCAAAGAGCTTAGATGAAGAACCCACAGGCAAATTCACCTTAAACCTCTAGCTCTGTCTTTCCACTCTATTTCATTCAACGAAGAGTCAGTGTCTCTTTTGTGTTTAACACTTTGCTAGGCACTGGGAAAGCAGCAGTGAACAGGGCAGATGTCATCCCTGACCTCATACGACTTACGTGGTAGTAGGGAGAGAGTAGCATTAGGCTCCAAATTGCACAGTCGTTTAATAGCTTTGATAAGAGAGCTGATTGGGGGCTATGAATAAAGAGAACTGGTCTCCGAGGACTCAGCCAAGTCCTTTTGAGGAGGAGATCTGTCAGTTACACCTGAAGGATGAGAAGGCACTAGCAAGATGAGGGACGGGAGACAAATAGCTCAGGCAGGAGACCTTAAGGCTTGAAAGGCCACTGTGACTAGAGTCTGGAGTACAAAGGAGTGGGAGGAGATGAGGCTGGAGCAGTTGGTGGGGGCCACATAGTGCTAGGTCTTGAAGGCCAAGGATAAGTTTTTGTTTTAAATCCTGAGGATAGTGAGAAGCCATTGGAGTATAAGCTGGAGTTTATGCAGTGGTGGAGATGGAGGAGAGTAGATGAAGTGGAGTGGTATCCAGAAGTTGATGGATTGCGTGTGGGAGGATGAAAAGTTTGGGGTCAAGAAGGACCACCGTGGCTTTCACTTGGGGCCACCAAATGCTGGGGCACCGAGCTGGAAGAGACTGGAGGAAGATGCGGTGTTTATCAAAAGATAGTGATTTCGGACATGGAGAGTCTGAGGTTCCTGTGAGCTGTCCAAATGGAGATAACGAGTGGGCCCAGGGATAAGGTCTGGAGCGAGTCATTTGAAAAGCCCCTGAAGCTGTGAATGTGCAGAGAGAGAAAGGACCCACAATAGCTGCCCTCAGACTCTGGGCAGGCCTGTCAGAAAAGGGCAGGCTTAGGGACTGCAAGTCCTTGAGGGAGAGCAATGTTGTTAGTGCTGCTGTGAACGCCTCCTGCATGCTCATCCTGGTTCACAGTAAGGGTAGCTCACATCCAGAGCACTTACTTTGTGTCACACATGAGCTGAATACCTCACCTGCAGTGTCTCGCGCCATGTTGAAAATCCTGTGAGCCATGTGCTGTTATGATTTCCATTTTATAGATGAGCAAAGTGATGCTACCACTACCAGAAATCCAGGAACACAGTCAAGGCAACAGCTAGTGGCAGGACTAAGGGTCCCGGTCCCTACACTCTGCTGCTTCTCCCTGGTTCCTGGTATCTGCAACTACCTTCCCTTATTTCCACCCTACCACCCCCTAAATCCCCATCTGGGAGGTGTGCTCGGCCCTCTTGCCTTCTCCCAGTGGCTGGTTGTGGCAGGGCAGCCCCATCACCTATGTCATGGATCCCATTCTTATCTTTAGCCTGCCCTGTCCAGCTCACCTCCAGAGGTGGTTCCAAGGTTTTGTGGGATTGTTGGAAGAGCAAAAGGCAAGAAGGACATGTGTGTATGGACCTATCTCCCTGACACCCATCTACATGTCCAGTTGCCACATTGTAGTCCACTCACCCTCCCTGTCAGTAGAGGGTAGACATGAACTCAGCCACATCCCTGCTTTCCAGGGAAGGCTCTGGGGCTAGGTCCAACAAGAAAGGCCCGTTATGTTACTGCTCATCTAGTCTGATAGCCTAGAGAAGGGAATGGAAGTATTTGGGGTCACAGTGCTGGCAAAAGCAGAGCCCTGGTCTAGTTCTTCTTATGGACCCTGCCTGGTTCCTAGATTCCATCTCTGCATAGGCCCTATTACGTAAGAGTTTATTTCAAAAGGATCTGCATATCTGAAGTGGCCAAGCCTTTGGCTTAGGTGGCTGGCATGGCTGCAAGCTTGCAGACACACAGAGGGATGCTCCCCGGGCTGCCTGCATCTCAGCCCTTTTCTGTTTCCAGCTCTTGAGGCCTTGGGCCAGTATTGCATCAAGGGATCTCACGAGCCCCTAGATTACCCCGGCTCTAGCTGATTCTGGCCCAGAACCTGCAGGTGACCTCTAAGCCAGTCATATTTCCCCTGCAGGGACCAGCCTTTGCACTGGTTTGGGGTCACAGGAGACCAGGAGCCCTTGTGACAGCGCATTTTGTTTAGGGGTCAGCTTCACCTTTCTGCACTGCTGCCTCCAGCCTAAGGCTCGATTGGAGTAAGAGCCAACGCCTGGGGGCTGGCTAGCCAGCATGTTCCATGTGTTACCACGTGTCAAACCTGTAGAGCTGGGAGATGGAATTCCCATTTCGCAGAGAAGGAAGCAGCCTGGACTCTAGATTAAACAGTGTGCCTAGAGTCACCCTGCCAGTGAGTAGGGCTGCTGGGATTTAGAGCCTGTCAGACTCGAGATCTTGTGCTCTACTTCACACACCTATGCCTTTAGATCTACCCACTGGCAGATGTGCGCAAGGAGGACTCTGTCTCTATAGTCTCCTACTCCTCTCAGCTCCCAGATCAAGGCCAGAAAAGGGTCCCCCTTATCAGCAGAGTGCTATCTCATTACACCAGCCAGGGGGCTTCATATTTCCTCACATTTGTTTCACTTAATCTTCTCTGCAACCAAAGATCATGCAGATTAGCTGGGTTACCATAACTATAACTGGAGAGGTTTGGCTGTGTTTCCAAAGACTCAACTAGAACGTCTGAGAGGTTGTCATAGAATTAGCACCATTAGCATGGAACGAACACCACTGGTGGTAGCTTTCCAAGACCTGGTTAATCTAGCCCAACGTGAGGCCTTGTCTCCTACTCATCTGTCCTGCTTCCTGGGATAGGGTCCAGGAGGGATTCTTGGGCACTCTCTGGCTGAGGTAAAACACAGGTGGGGAGCCCTGGCCCAAGATTCCATCCAGCCCCAGCAATTCATACCCGCAACCCCACCCCAGCAAGGGTCCTTAGGCATTCTTTGCAAAAGGTTTGCAGAATTGTGTGGCTGTCTGCCTTTTGACTGATGCAACATCCTAGCATTCTTCAGATTCTCAAAAGCCCAGTGACCCCACAGATGGTTGGGCACTACTAAATTAGATAATCTACCAGATCTTTTTTTAGTCACACATTCTCTGAGCTCTAGTGCCCTGCTAAGCCAGGTAACTCCTGAAACTATTTTAAACCCCCGTAAAGTACAGCCCCTAGAGTTAGGTTAACTTGGGAAATGGTCAAGGTTATCACAAATCTATTTATTCCCTCTCAGGTTCTCTATAATCATCCCCTCATAGCTGGCTTTATTCATGCTCTGCTTTCTTCCTCTGTGCTCCCCAGACCTGGCTTCTGCCTACTTCGGGAAGAAGTGCTGAGCCGCTGATCCCATCCCTGGGCCCTCAGATGCTTCCATCGCCAGACGGTTCTGGTCCGGAACTGGCTCTTGGGAGGGGTCAGGTCCAAGAGTCTCTGAGAGCAAAGGAGAGGACCAGGTGGAAGGAAGTGCCTGTAGGAAGGTCTCCATGGAGCCTTCACAGGGAATTTTTTTTTAGCAGATGAGGCAGCAGTTCCTCTTTGAGACCGGCTCTGAAAACACTTCCCAGAACAACGCACAGGCTGAGGCTGGGGAAAAGCTGGGGAGGAGGAAGTATCATTAAAACTGACCTGAGTCACGTTGAAGTAGGAGGCAGATTGCCCTTGAGTGTCGCTAGCCCGCTTGCCCGGCCCTAATCCCCCTTTCCAAAGTGGCGCAACCAAAGACCAAAGCGTTCTGAGCATTGGGTCGAATTCGGTGAGGTTTTATTGGAGAGTGCGGGACGCGGATCCCAGACCACAGGGTGCCGCAGGTGCGACCCGCTGCTTCTAGACCAGCTTCCCCTCCGCCCGTGCCCACCGAGAAAATGGAGCCCTTGGACCCAGGCGGGACCTACTGAAACTCGGCATCCCCTCGTTTCCCCCGGGGGACATAGTCCCCTAAAGGGATCATTTCCTAGTTCGGCTGAGTTCACGCTCAGATTCTAGGTTCCCAAGCGAGGAAGAGGCAGTAACAGCCACGGGAAGACAGCCACCGGGCCAGGGAGTCCGGAGATGCGGATCCTGGCTAGTTGCGCGCTAGTCGAGCTGTGTCTGCCCCTTCCTTGTGCAAAGCAAAGGAGGCGGCGGGCGGCGGAGAAGGCTCGGCGTCCGGGTTGGCTCTCCGTCTTTCAGGAAGGCACCCCTGCTAGACCCGCTGTCCGGTGGTGGAGCCGGGAGCGGGGAAGCAAGACTCCGCCAGGGGATGGGAACCGTGGGGCCTGCGGCCGGTAGGATCGCGCCCCCGCGCAGCCTGCGAGCGCCTCCGACTCCCTTTACGCCCCGGTGGCCGCTCGAGGTCGTAAAAGGTCTTTGGGTCAGGGCGCGGCGTTCCCAGGGGCCCGCGACCCCCAGCGTCGGGCTCACGCGGCCCGGCTCCTCCCGGCGGCCGGCGGTGAGACCGGGACACTGCGTCTGGCGGCCCTGGCTCCCCCCGCCGCTACACCGGCCGCGACTTCCAGGGCGCGCGGGCGTCGCGCAGCGAACGGTCGTGGGGCAGGGCGGCGAAGGCCGAGTGGCGCAGCTGGCAGCCGATGAAGAGGACGACGAGCGCCACGGACAGCAGCAGCAGGAAGAAGAGCAGCAGGTAGGTGGGCAGGTCGGGCTTTGTGGCCGCGCCGTCCCGCATGCCGCGCGCCGTGGCCAGCTCCAGCGGCAAAGCGCCCTCTGCCTTGACCGTGGCTGCCAGGGCCAGCGCGCCGCCTCCAGCCGCCTCGGGGCCGGCTGTGGCGTTGAACACGTCTCCGTACATGGCCCGCGGGGCCGCCGACCCCGGCCGGACCGCCTCACTGGGTGTCGTGCCGACCAGCGCCGCCGGGCGCCTCCATGGCGCGCCCCTCCCGCCCTGCTGCGCGCACCTGACCGGGAGCCGGTGCCTTCGGGTCAACCCGGGCCGCGTCGCTCCCTCGTCCCCGCGCTCAGCTGCCGTCCCCGCGGGGCGGCGGGCCCCGGGGCTCGGAGCTGGACGGCCCCGCGCGATTAACCCTCGGTCTTTTCCTAGGTCTTGCCGTCGCCCCCCGCGCTGCCAGTGACCCGGCTCGCGGGTTTGGAGCCGCTCTCTGCGCTCCGGCCCCCCGCTCCGGTCAGCTCCGGGCTCGGGGCTTCCCTAGGCTGCAGCGGCGGCGAGAGGTGCCAGGCGAGTGCGGCCGCAGTTCGGGTGCCTGCTCAGCGCCCGGACGCCAGGTGCACCGAGGGCGGGCGGCCGGGACTTCGGCGCCGCTGCGGCCGCTGCGTCTCGGAGCGGGCAGTCCTGCAGCCGCGAGTCCCTGTTCAGATGCCTAGTGTGCGGCGAGCTCGCTTTTCCTGCTGCGCTCCTGTCTTGAGCAGGAGACTGCGCTCCGTGGCAGCTCGGAGCGCGCTCAGGTCCCCGGCAGGGGGGCGGGGGGGCGGGACTGACAGCTGCTGCCCCCGGGGAGCGGCTGCCGACCAATGGGGCGAGAGTGGACACGCTGCGACTGCCCTGGCCTGGCCTCACATCACTTAGGGCCAGAGAGACACAGAGAGAGTGGGAGGGAGGAAGAACAGGGTCACAGAAGACTGACGGACAAAGAAATGGTTACAGACCTATGATCAGAGACACAGGCAAAACAGACAGCAGACGGACTCAGAGGCAAGGCTCAGCCTGACGTGGACACCTGCTTCCATTCCTCTCCTTGATAGTCTTCCTCCCGGTGGAGCCCAGTTGGCGAGGAGCCCCACTGGCTGCTGGGTAGTGCAGGCAGGGCGCATGGCCTCCAGGGGAGGCTGGGCCAGTGGCAGAGGCGCTCCTGGACAAGCTGGGACAGTGCCCTGGTCCCAGGCCCTTCTGTAGCTGTGCCTTGAGGGCCCATGTGCTCCCCCACTCTGTGAGCTGTCTTGCTCAGCAACCCTTGCCTGGTCCTTTCTGGCACAGGGAGCAGGAGGAGGGTGTGAGGTTTGTGATGGCCCGCCTGACCTTGCCAGCCCTGACAAAGGCTACGTGGCCAGAACACGGGTGAGCTGTCAGTGGAGCTAAGGGGTTCTCCTGGTCTGCATTCCTCCCTTCGCTGGAGAAACTGTGGAAGCCCCCCGACGAGACTAGGACCTGCTGCCTGTCTGCTATAGCCCCTGCACCTCTCTGGAAGCACTGACCGCCAGGGACCATCATTGTCTGGCTGGTCCCAGCTGGGCCGGTGGCAGCTGAGAAGCCCAGGGCAGGAAACCATGGAGGCCCTTGCCTTCAAGGTCCTGCACACGTGTAGGCAGTGCTGAACGTACCTCCTTCCACTTTGCACCCTAGATACCTCACCCCTCACTGCCGTCTCAGTTCTGTTGCCCGGTCACTTGCTCGAGATCCCCACAGGTCAGCCACGTTCGTAGCTGTGTCTCTCATCCCATCCTGGGGTGCAGCGCATGGGGAGGGTTGGGTGAGCCCTGGCTGTGTGAACAGGGGGAGATACATAAGCTAGTTCTTCCCCTTGCCCTCACCACACCTGGCCACAAGCCTAACATGAACAACCAGGGTGGGCAAGACCGATCCTGGTCAGAGCTCGTTCCCACAGATCCCATCTCAGCCTGGGAGAAACACCTCTGCAACCCCTTTGTCTGACTTTGAAGTCAGGGTCCAAGGCCTGACTCTCCAGAGTGTTCTACTGCTTGCCGAGTGAGGCCTCTGGCTCTGCAGGCCCTCAGTGGGGCTTTCCTCTTGGTCATGCAGATGGGCTGAGGGGGGCCTCCCTGGGGAGAACACAGCTGTGTGTGGGTGGTTGGACAGCAGGACCCGGCAGGATGGCCAGCTCATCTACCCACCTTGGTTCTGGCGAGCTGCCCGAGGTGCTCCTGGGGCATAGGTTGCTGGGCGCCAAGGCCTGGCTGATGCTTAAGCCAACAGCCAGCACACAAGAGTGATGCGCTAGCCATGGCCAGGGGTGGGGAGAGGTGGGCGGAGGGGCTGCCGCTTGAATGGGGGGAGGTGGTCCCTTTCTCTGAAGGCCTGACCTATTTTGGACAGCATTTTTATCAGCCAGCAGGATCCCAGGGGCCAGGATGTGAAATCAGAGCAGGCTTCCTCAGGGACACCTGGAGTCTGGGGGCGGGTCAGCACGTGGAGTGATTGGAAGAGATGTTGTCCAGGTGAAGCCCATGCTGTTTTGGTTCCCTGGCTCTTGGTGAGGCTCGAAAGGTAGTGCTTGAGTAGCTGGGTTTGGGATTTTGCCTGGGATTTCCTCTTTGCTCTGTGTGGGGAATAACATGGCCCTGCTCGCTCTACTTCATCTCTGACCGACCCATGGAATGAGACAAGACACTAGGTGATGGCGGGAAGCCGGGACAACTCAGCTGGGAGGTCCTCCACGCAGTCTGGGGCGAGCTCCAGCCCCCTGGGCTATAAAATGAGGGATTATGGTAAGTGATTTCTTGTGGTGCTCTGGAAACATCCAGGAAGTGGGCACAGAGCAGGGGAGTCTGCAAAGATTTTGGTGGGGACACAGGGTCCCAGCAGTGCCCTTGCTCATGAACAGGGGAGGGGAATTCTCTAAACCTGGGGTCTGCGGCGCTCTCATTCCTCCCCTGCAGTTGGAGCTCTTCAGTGTCAGAGTGACCCACGCAAGGGCTTAGAGCCTGTGAGAGGCGGAGCTGAGGCTGGAACTTAGGCAGCCAAGGCTCCAGAGGCCAGGCCCCTCACCACGACCATGACCACCTCCAGGGGCAGGGCAGCGCGGGTAGCTGCCACTCACAGGCCTCTTCCCCCAGACCAAGCTCCAGCCTGAGCCTCAGCACATGGTCTTTCTCCTCGAAGGGGCCTGGGAGATAGGCCCTGCTGTGTCCTCTCTTTCCCCAAGGAGGAAGCTGCGGCCTCTCGAAGTGATGTCACTTCCCAAGGCCCACACGGCTGGGTCAGGATGCAAGGGAACCAAGGCTGTGCAGCCTGTACTTGCCCACTCTGTCTCCAGATGCTGCTTCTCACGAGGAGCTCAGCAAACGGCATGTGGGCTGACCGCCTGGCATTGTGGTCAAGTTGGAGAAGGTATCTTGCCCTTTTTTGGGGGTCTTTTGGTCTTGAAGCGGGGAGGGCACTGTTTCTTTTCTGAAAGACGTTCGGAGCCCTGGGAAGGCAGTCACGTTCCCCCGAAACGTCCCCGGGGAGGAAAGTAAACAAGGCCAGTGCTGAGTGAATGCAGAGATGAAGTTTACACAGCTTGTTACACAAGCCAGAGCGACCTTCCATTAAGGGAGCTTTGTGTACTCGTACACTTAAGTCTTGAAAAAGATTATAAAGGGACTCTGAGTTGGCTTTGACAGACAGGGGTCACAGGGCCGGGACCCCAGAACGCGCCCTCTTCCCCATTACGTGGTTGCTGAGCCACGTGCCCTGCTCCCTCCCCCCGCCTGTCTGTGGAGGGAAAGGCAGGCCAGGCGAGGGGCCTCTCCTGCCACGCTCAGGCCATTTGGCAGCTGCTTAATGGAAACTGGGGAGACTGGGAGCATTAGAGCCCCAGGATTCCGTAAATTGTGCTGTGCGCGGCCTGTGGAGCTGGGTGAAACTATTTCTGTTTCTCCTGCAAGCAAGGGGAATTATTATTAAACCGCTCCCGGAGGCCGGGGCGCAGGTCAAGGGTGAAATGTTGTGGCCCGGGGGTTCGCCGCCGCTGGAGTGGTTTTCCGTGTGTGTTGTGTGCTGTGATTGCTGTGGCCGGCTCCTCTGTGAATGCCATTGATGCCCTGGCTTTCTGACCTCTTCATTTGAACCATGGTCCCTGGCAGTGGTTTAGTGGTTGGTTTTTGCTTTTGTTGTTTGTTTGTTTGTTTGTTTTTACAGATGGCTTCAGCAACCACAGTGGCTGGTGGCTTTAGGGTGAATTTTAGAATGACCATTTTTAAGAACTAAATGGCAAGTAGGCTAAGCCCGGCTCTGAAATGCAGTGTTTTTCCAAGAGGGAAACAAGCATTTGTGGGCTTGTGGGGTGGTCAGGGCAGATCATGTGAGGGACTGCAACTTGGTCCCTGGTGCGAGATACCTGGGAAAAGGATGAGGTGTGAGCGTGAGGCCAGCAGGGAGGAGAATGCTCCCGGACACCCTTCTTCCAGAAAGGGTGTCTCCACCTCTGTCCTCTGATGCCACGGGTCTGTGGCTTCTCTTGCTGGATCAGAGGGTGGGATGGAGAGAGTCAGTGACAAGATTCATGGGCCTGGCAGAGGCTGGGTCTGGAGACACCTGGAAGCAGGCGTACGTACACTTGGTCTGCAGGTGGGGGTGGCTCTGACTCTGGTGATGGGATGACCCTGGGTGGATCAGTTTTTGGACAAAGTCTCACTGCTTAGCGAGACTTCTCTTTGGTTCCAACAATGTGTGACCTCAGCTGCCTCTCTGAGTCCCTAGCTAAGCAGGCTCTAGAGACACAAAACTCCCAAGGCTGCTGAGAATGATGGGAGCGGTTGCCACCCCCTGAGCCGGATGACCGAGCCTTTTCTGGAAAGGACAGAGGTTTGCATGATGGTGAAGCTTGCATTCCCCCTGCTGCCTGGACCCAACCATTGTGGGTGGTGTGGAGTCATGAGTGGGATCACTGAATACTAAGGATTAGGCCATCATTCTGGCCAAGAATGGGGAAGAGGCCAAAGCTGAGATAGAGCCAACATGTGCCAAAAGGACAGCAAGTCTTGGAACAGGGCTAGTGTTGGGAGTCAGTAGTCAGGCTCAGGGGCACCTGGGAGTCTGGCTGGGTCCTCTGGTCTTGCCCTCGTATTTCCAAGGGTGGGGGGCCTGGCTCGTGAGGTTACACTTGGGGAGAGATCAGGCACCGGAGGGGATGTCTCTGGCCCAGAAGTAGAGACAGGAAGCAAGGTGAGGCAGACCGTCTGGAGCCCCCCATCCCCTCTAACCTGTCCCATGTGCGGTACTGAGGGAAAACTGCTTCACGGAAAGGTCTGGAACTTGGTGGTGATGCCAGGGCACAAGAACTCATTCGGGAAGGTTCTCTCCTAGGTCTGTATTTCCTAGGACCGAGTATACTTCCCTCAGGTGAGATGCAGTCAAATCTCAGAGACCCCACTGGTAAAGCGTGCAGCATCACTGAATCCCACGACGCAAGAATTCTTGGCTTCTAATCTCCTTAAATTATCTTGCTTATGGCACGAAACAAAACCC